TATCCAAAACAGATCCAGCTTTAACTTTTGCCCCAAAAGCAGACACATCTACAGAAGTTGCTATAGTCCTACCTATAAATGATACTGGCAATTCAACTACAGCAGGTAATTTAGATATTTAAATCACAACCGAATAAAACTAAATTCCAAGAAGCTGTTATATAAGAATAGGGAAATTTTTCATATTAAATGTATGTATATATATATATATATATATATATATATATATATGCCACTAACAATTACTTTTATAATTAAGTGACCAGTTGATAATTTCCTTGATTAAATAAGCAAACTGAAAAGCAATCTGCAATCTAAATAAGCAAAAAGCAATCTGATTTCCCAGATAAAATAAGCAAATTGAAATGAAGGCTATAAAACAAATAGCCTATAGGCTATACATTTTGTGGGGGGGAAAAAACAAAGTTACATTATAGGCTAACATTTATGTAACAAAAACCACTGTGGACAGATAAAACAGGTGGTTAACTGGCAATGTTTTATTTTTTAAAGGGGTCATATGATGCTGCTAAAAAGAACATTATTTTGTGTATTTGGTGTAAGGAAATGTGTTTATGCGGTTTAAGGTAAAAAAACACATCATTTTCCACATACTGTACGTTATTGTTTTTCCTCTATGCCCCGCCTTTCTGAAATGCGTCGATTTTTACAAAGCTCATCGTTCTAAAAAAGCGAGGTGTGCTGTGATTGGCCAGCTATCCAGTGCATTGTGATTGGCCGAATACCTCAAGCGTGTGACGGAAATGTTACCATATTGTGATGATGCCCTGTCAGGCCGGAGCGATGATTCAAAAACATAAAAACCCATTATAAACTAGTGTTGGGTCGTTCTTGAACGATTCTTTCATTTTGAACGAATCTTTAATGTGACTCGGGAAGAACGAGTCGTCTCGGGGAGTGATTCGTGATACAACAAGCCCTACTCTACACTGCCCAAAAAACTCGCTTTAAATATATAAAATATAAAAACTCTTTAAATATAAAAGACGTACTTACAGTCTATGAGTCAGAACAGCCGGCATTGTAGTCTACTCTGCCAGGATCAGGAAACGGTCCTCCATAAAATGTGCTGCACACATCAGAATATTTGGGTTGAAGTGTTCTGGAACAGTGTTGTAAATACAACTTAACCACTGATTTCTAGTCGTGTCTATTTTTTGAAAAAACGGCCAAACAAAGTAGTTTCGCTTTCACAACGAAACACAGCTTCACACACGGTGGCCTAGAGTGAGCGGTGGCCAGGGGATGAAGTGAGGAACAGCCGGAGGGCTAGAGTGAACAGACGTGGCAGTTTCGACGAAGGAGTGTCCGGCGGGCTTGCAGCAATCACATGTGACGACCCCGGGCTGGACTCTGCTTCGTCCACGGTGAAAGCTGATCCGGCGATCCACAGCGCGAAGTTGTAGTATTTCCTCAGCAACCAGCATGGATCAGCTCCAGGCATGACGAAGCAGATATCGTACTCTTTTGGAAGGCCAAACAAAGTAGTTTCGCTTTCACAACGAATCACA